AAACCGTTCTGCTTGGGTTGGGGTGAGGTTTTCTAAACCATAAATATCAGGTTATATTGCTTAAATGTTTTCAACCCGATAAATAACGGACTTCACAATCATATTAAATGTATATGAAGAGGGTGATGGTCTAAAAGTCTATTCTACATATTAATAACGGATTTCACAATCATATTAAATACAAGCAAAAGAAGAGTGTTGGGTTCACCGGGTTTGGTTCAAAAACGTTATCCAATTCCAACTCAATACTTAAGATTTGAAAATTTTACAACTCGATTAGACATCAACTAACTTCGGGTTAAGTTATTTCGGGTTGGGTTGGCCAAGTTATTCGGGTTTGCATACACCCTATAAGCACCTACCAAAATCCCATATCATAATTGAACAAATAAAGTATCAACCCTTCTATTTGAACATTTCAAAACTAAATAGGTTTCCGATAGACTTTAAACATATGTCCAACTAATCCATTATTGGTTCGATATATTTTAAATATGCTCGCAATAGACTTTGAACGTATGCGTAATCGTTGTGCGTTAAAGATAAATGTGAACAAAAATCCCGAACTTTTCATTAACATAAACCCAGTCACATACAAAAGTTATGAGTAGCATTAATCAAGAACTTATATTACCTATCGAGAACCAGATATACAATCTTTGTGAAAATGGTTATTCCAATCATAAGAAAGTTGGAAAAGAGGCAAGAAGTTATAAGGTATCAGATGAAAAAAGATTGCATTATTGTTGGAAGATTGTCCGATAAAAATGTCTACGATAGAGTGGTTCATGTAAAGATTTTTCAATGCTAAAAAACATGTCTAATCGGACAGAAAAACAACTCTTTATTCTAAATGCGTTTTCACGAGATTTGCTTTCTTTAGTCAATTGTGTCAACGTCTGATTGATTTAACTTTTTGTTATGTACGAATTACTGTTTATTGATACATATTACTTAAAATTTAAAATTATAAATAAATTATGTATAAATACAACTTATTAAAATTTTATATTTAAATTCGTATAAAAATTAAAGAGACATAAAAGTTGGTTATTAAAAATATGAGCCAAACTATTTTTGATATAAAAAAGTTAATTTAAATAATTCTAAAAACAATCAAATAATTTTGGTAAGAAAATGAAGATGGGTTAGGAGATTGTGCCCATGAAGAGAAGAAGAGCCGTTGATAAATGCAAATTCAAAAATAAGAAGGCTTTGCGTCACTCTCACGGCCGTACAACTGACTATCACGCGCTACATTTGATGACGTGGCAAATTATAATTGGAGTGTTTTTGGTGGATAAGCGAGTGAGGCACTAGTGTTGAGAGAGAACCATTCTGAACGTGGATTCAAAAAGTCTAAACGGGACACTGCCCAACCTCATCCTCACAAACATCCAAATCTCAGTTTTTTTTAAGTTAATTATTTTATTATATATAATTTAATTTAATTTAAGGGTGTGCTAAATGAATATATCTATATTATATTACTAGTTGTGTATCCGTGCAATATAGTGAGAGCCGTAAATTTTAACGATTTTGAAGTTTCACTGGTTTTATTAGAGAAGATTTAACGATAACATAAGTGACACTTGGTCTTTACATATTAATACAATTTGAATAAATAAAAGTTATGGTTTCAATTACAGTCTATCAATGAAAAAAATTGTATAACAGTTTAAAATCCAATATATTTAAAATCCAACATATTTAAATAACTCCACAAATATGTTCAATTTACAACAAGAACAAAGAATCAAGAGATCGAGAGCGAGACCGAAAGTTCTAGAGCAATTGAATGAGAGATAAATGAGAGAACTTTTAAAAACTCATGATGAATATTAGTTTGAATCTCATCTTGGGGGATGGGGAGAAGACATAGAGGTATGAGAGAGTGAAAACATGAGTGAAATGTATCAAAAATATCTTGAGAATATGAAAAGAAAATGTAATCATGTGCATAAAGTAGTAGTGGTACTTAATACATTATGAGTTGTTTTTAAGACTTTTAAGATTTGGTGCATAAATGTATAGTACTTTGTGCATTAAAAATTGTTTTTAAGACTTTTGATAAAGTTGCTTTATAAGGTAGTATAGATAAAACATTTGTTATAAACTCTTAAAAACAATCTTTTAGACATTATGTACTGCTATATAATGCTAATTACTTCATTTTTAAATTTACAATTTCTCAATGCTTGGGTACAACTTATTGAAACATCTAAGCGAGATTTAGATAACCTCCATCTTCCATTAAGAGCAAACATTCATCCATATCTTTATGAGTCGTCAACCTTCATCCATATTTTGATATCTATCGATTTCAACAGATTTAGATATGAATATACATATGATTTCAATAGATTTAGAGATGGATATATATATATATATATATGTATATGAAGCAATATTGTTTAATCCATTGTTTTTTGTTTTTGTTCTTCGGGATACAAACAGATTCAAAATATTTATGTACATGGGTGGGGTCAAGTACCTTGAAGCCATTATTGATAGACGAAAGGCACCATGAAAATGCATAGAATTAGATATGTACCACGTAGGTACACACTTTTAATAATCGTTGTTTTTTTTGTTGTATAATTTAAAAGTCCAAGGGTTGTTTGGGTTGAACCTTGTAACCTTGAAGGGCCAATTGTGTAATTACAAGACCACATGGGGTCCTCAAACCCATTTCATTCGCACCTTTTCTCCAAAAGGGGTGTGTGGGGAATTTTTGAAGCTTTTAGGAGGAGAATGCTTTTGGTAAAGAATTTTTGAAGTTTGAATAATGTGGGAATCTTCATCAAAAGGTAATAATGTTAACTCTTTAAGTTTAGTTTCTTTCACCAGAGGATATTTGTCTCTTGAGTTGGGGAAATTAGGGCTCATTTTGTGAACCCGTCATTTCATTGATTTTGATATTGGATTTGAAATTTACTGTGGATTTCTATCTTGAATCTGCGGTTGAATGTTTTATCTAGAGCTGGTTTTAAAAAAAACCTGTGCAAAACAGAAGCCTGCGCGACTTGGCATGAGACTTAGATTGCGGCGCACGTTGCATAAGCCACTGTTTGTGGCACGACCTCGTTGTTTCATTTCTCATTTCGAAGCAAGGTTGGTGTATTGTTTTAGAGAGATGCTTAGGGGGTTATAAGAGATGTATTTTGGGTCAATTAATATAGTTTAACGCTTTCCTAATTCAGTTAACTCAAGTGGCTGGTTTGAGCAAATTTAGCCGTTAGGCATGTGGTGGTGTGCTGAGAATCTAATGAGTTCTCTTACCTTGATTTTTATAAACATGTGATCATTTATGAACGTTTTAAAGTATTGATTATGGTTTTTATGCATGGATATCTTTATTATGCAAATTATCATTGTGCATTGGTGTTTATGTAAAGTTACGTGGTTACGTGGGATGTGTGGATTTGTACAGTGGGAATAGGTGCCTTGAGATAGTGATATCTCTTGGGAGTGATAATCTGGGTGTCTTGAATTTATTTCACGTGCAAATTGGATAGGCATCTACTAGGGCCTTGACTATGAATATCATGGGATGGTGTGATGGTGTGGCTACAAATATTGCACAAAGTCCGTGTGTGGAAATTATGTGCATATGATGTTTTTATATTGGATCTTCTGTATCAATATGTGTTTTATGTTCGTAAACTATGTGGGTATCTCATATACCCTGTTTGGAAAATGATGTATGCTCAAATAGCGTTCTGTGTAAAACCATGTGCTCACTTAACATAGAGCTAAAATAGAATTTATCTCAAGAACCGTAAAATGAAGACAATTAATGAAACAAACATATTTTATAATTTAGTCTGAGATTACCGCTATATATGCTATCGAACTATCATGTTGTTTAATTTTCAGTATTATAATTGTATTAGCATTCAGATTCCGATGTTCATAATTTTAGGTTCAAATTATATCAGTATATGGTCAATTTGTTAAATCTTCGATTACGATGGTCGTGGAAAGTTGTCTATTTGTACTATACAAGAAATATGAAACCTAAAGTAAAAATATAATCACTGACGCAACTAACACTGAAAATTTAACTGAAAAAAAGTCAATCTTGTTAACAAAGCAAAAACTAACAAAACCATCTCGTTTGACAGAAAAAATAATTGATGCCGAGGGTATAATTATAACCATCATGTTGNCCCCCACCATATCACAACCACCAACATCGCTGCTTAAATACTAATAATACAAAACTACGTAGAACCCAAACCATCAAAGGAAGCATCGATAACTAAAAGATGACCAAATCGCTTTTGAAAATGAACCATGCAACAACAGGATCATCAAGCTTGATTCACGATGCATTAACAACAAACTAGTCAAATCAGTTGAAACTCTAATCAACATAAACTTGTTTTTCAACATTACTTCTTATGCATCTAAAACACAATGAATAAAGAGAATGATATCCTTATATTCTACAGTTGTCGAGGTTGAGAAAATCCCGAAGGACTAACAGGCCCAAAGTACAGAAAAATAAATGTATTAACAATACTAACGTGAGTATGTGACAATAAGCACTCATATAAACCACATTTTCGTTGTTAAAGGGCCCCGTAAAAGAAATATATTTATTAAATAAAAGATAATCGATCTAAATAAAGATAACATCATTACAATCCTTGGTCTTTATTTGATCTTTGGGTTTCATGTCATTGCTTTATGTTGCATTTGAATATATATATATATATATATATATATAAAAGAATTATATAAAAAATAATATAAAATAATTAAAAAAAGTCAAATACAATGACTGCAGTGAAAAAATTTAGGTCCAAACTAACTAACCGCGAAGTTAGGATCCTCAATACACCTAAAACGGATTCTTAACCACCACTTAATTTCCTCAACATTCACGTGTAATCTAATCACCACACCTTAAATTACTATTTTATCCTTCCTTCAATCGTCTTCTATCTATAAGTAACCATTATCGTCATCGTCAAACTAAACTAAGAAAGCACATGGAGACTCAATCGACTACAAACAAAGGTGGTTGGAAGTCCATCAAATACATAATTGGTAATTTAATTAACTGGTTTTATTATTTAACAGAATGTTTATTAGCTTCAATAATAATCACTGTTGTTGTTGTTTCAGGGAATGAGTCGTTTGAGAAATTGGCATCGGTGAGCTTGGTTATGAACATGACTTTTTATTTACGTTCAAATTACAACATGAATGGTATCTTTCTTATAAATGTGGTTACCATTTGGACCGGCACCTCCAATATTTCGTCACTAGCCGGTGCTTACCTCTCTGATGCCTATATCGGCAAATTCCTCACTCTTTTTTTCGCCTCCATAGCTTCTCTTTTGGTACGTACATATCATATTCTGCGTTTGTTCATATTAATATACAGTTTTCAGTGCAAATCTCACACTCGTATATGTATTAATATTTGTCTATTCAAAAGAGTATTTGGATTTGTACCGTTCATAATAGGCTAATCGATTAAAAGTTCCACAAATACAATGGTGGACATTTTCATTGAAGTTGTCCAATAAAACGTGACCCATGAGCAAAAAAGTAACGACTTATAGTTGTACAACCTTTTTACGATCTTATATGATCAAAAAGCAAGATTTAACAGGGTTGGACCGGTTACAACCCTATAACGGAAAATTCCATTTGCGAGTGTGATTTTAACCAAATTTATTTATATAAACAGGGTATGGGTATGATGACATTGACTGCCGGTGTACCGCATCTTAGACCACCCAAATGCAACGACCAGCTTAACTGCGTCCAGCCGGAAATGTGGCAGCTAGGGCTGCTCTATGCCGCATTAGGCCTTCTTTCGCTCGGGGCCGGCGGTTTAAGGCCGTGCGGTATTGCTTTTGGCGCCGATCAGTTCGATACCACCACCACCAAAGGACGGAAACAGCTCCAAAGCTTCTTCAATTGGTGGTACTTATCATTTACAGTCGCTCTGATAGTTGCTCTCACCGGAGTTGTCTACATACAAACAAACATCAGCTGGATGATCGGATTTGCAATTCCGACGGCTTGTCTCTTGTCTTCCGTCGTCATTTTCTTGATCGGACGGCATACTTACGTCATAAAGAAGCCGGAAGGAAGTGTTTTTTCCGATATTGCAGAAGTGATTGTTGCTTCAATACGGAAACGTAGAATACCGTATGAATCAAAATACTCTTTTTATCAAGAAAAATCCGGGTCAAAAAACCCTAATCTTGCGCGAACCCATCGATTCAAATGCTTAGATAAAGCAGCCATGATCGTCGATCCGACCAGTGAGCTGAATGCTAATGGCGTGGCCAAAAACAGGTGGAGATTGTGTAGCATGCAACAAGTGGAGCACTTGAAATGTATCATCGGAATCTTGCCGATTTGGGTGTCGGGTGTTGGGTGTATGCTTGTGATCGATCAACAAAGCACATTTGGAATTCTTCAAGCCATCCAGATGAATCGAACTATTGGATCCAAGTTCAAGATCCCACCAGGTTGGCTGTCGGAAACAGCGATGATCACATTATCGATATGGATCTTCATCTACGAAGGGATTTACGTCCTGACACTTAAGAAGATCTTCAAAAGGGAAGCAAGATTATTAACAATGGCCATGAGAGTTCGTATTGGGATCATTATGTCCATATTTTGCATGGTAACAGCTGGGATTATCGAACGAAAACGCCGCAATTCGGCCATAAACAACCACAGTTACGTTGCACCGATGCATATCTGGTGGATAATTCCCCAATTTGTGCTTTCTGGTTTGATAGAAGCATTCGATAATGTGGCGATGATGGAGTTTTTTACCACCCGGATGCCTGAAAGCATGAGAACGATGGCGGGTGCCATCTTTTTCGTCACCTTATCAATCTCGAGCTATTTAAACTCACTGATCGTTAATATAATCCACAAACTAACAGGAATGAATGGAAGAACACCGTGGTTAGGCGGCCACGATCTTAACGAAAACAGGCTGGATTATTACTACTACATTATCGCTGGTTTGGGGGTTTTGAATTTGATTTATTTCACATTAGTTGGTTCCAAATACGTAACTCCGGCGAAGGTTATCGGCGTTGAGGAGAAGTTGAAGCAGGTTGAAGACGGTGGCGGTGGAGTATGAAAATGCATGGGAGAGGGTGATGTAAATTTGTTTATAAGTTAATTTTCTGGATGGGAAGCTTTCTGTGATCTACCTTTTGATGATTGAAAATCAAGGCATTTTTTTTTCTTATTCAAATATTAGAAAACAACTTATCATCGATGTGAGACTGAAATAAGTTAAAAAACAGTTTTTATAAACAATCTCAAACACCCCCATAATATTGTATAACAATGGTGTTCTAACTTCTAATATCACTAGTTTTTGAACTCGTGCTTTACGCAATGACAAAAATGTATTGTTAGAAAATAAATATGTAATTACTTTAAGAAGAAGCGTAACTTGTTAATTCATTGACAACTAAAAAAAATACAATGTAAAACATTGAATGCACCTGTAAAAAAGTAATTGATGCAACGTGCGATAAATGAACGAAAGTTGATCCCGTTGATTCTACGGACACTTTCCCCGGGCATGTTCCTCGTTTCAAGCATCGAATCGATATTATGAACCTAAAATAGAGTCTCGCACAAAAGTTAAGCGCATTTTAAGCGTGCCACCCTTTGTTAGCCCGATCATGGGTCTTCTTAAAGAATAGTGCACAGTCCTCCATACATGGCCCGCATCAGTAATGCTCCGATGTTGAAATTAAAGTTGTACAAAAATGGTTAGTTGCAAATGTATATGCAATATTAAGAATTATACTAGTAGAATATAAAAATAATCTTTCTAGTATAACTTAATGCTTGTTTTGCAACTTATTAATTAAACCGGTTTTGAAATGGGTTGCATATAAAAGAAAACTATAATAAACCATCATATCATGAAGTTAGTTAATTGAATAGACAAAAGAACGATTACATAAATTAAAAAACAATATATATAGGAACTTTTTTTATTATATATTCATACCCATATAACCACCCCCGTGAAAAAAAAAATATGCATTCAAAATCAAATAAAATATGTTATATAGTTAATGGTATCAATTTCTCTTGGTTGACATGTTTTCTATAAAAAACGGAGCTCTTTTTTATTCAAGTATCATTTATATTGTTTTCTTGAATAAGGTTCAACTATGCAGGTAGATGCAATTTTCAATTATTGTGAACTTTTTTATTCTTGTAAAGCATTTATCTTGAACTGGAAAAGTCAAACGAGGTTGAGTACTCGGTTCTAATTGTCAAAAGATGTGAATTCATTTTTCATGTACTATTTTACACAAAAACTATTGATATGCATAGGAGAACTAAAATAGTTCTTCTTGCATTTTTGAAATATGATCCAATAGAAAGTTGGTGTCGAAGTAGATCAACTTAGTATATTTAACATACAATCAAAAAATGATAGACCATTCATGGAGCGCGGGTTTCATTGAGATAGTTTGGCCTCACATAACAATAGTGATGGAGACTTTCATTGGGAGTACCGACTTAATCTATATTGCAAAAAAAAAAAAAACTTTCATATAAGAGAGAAGAACGCCTCAATTTAATGAAGAGGAAGCTACAAAGGTTGTCGGTATATGGAAAGTTGAGGGTTATGCTAAAGTGTAAGATATGTTTAAGAGAAGAGAAAGTAGAAAGTTCACAAGGAAATATGGAGGGTTAGGTTGTCGGTATTTACCGGCGGGTATTTAATTAATTTTTAAGATTAAGGTCCGCCGGAAAGTAACTAAAAATTAAATTTTCTTTTTAAAATTTTCCAACGGGTTCCGGGAGTCCGCTGGTAATCCGGCGGTAATAGTTATTCAATATTTAAAAAGAACTTAATGATTTCTGGCGGCCTTTTCCAACAGATTTTCGACGGATTTCAGGCAGTTTTTTTTTTTTTTTCCCCAATTTTCAATCTTTTTTTCTTAATGAATCATATTAGGCTTTAACGGTTCTATTGGGCTTTAGTGGATGTTAGTTGGGCTTTAATAGATCGTATTGGGCTTTGACGGATCGTATTGGGGTTAGTGGAACGTACTGGGATTTAACGGTTCTATTGTGCTTTAATGAATTGTATTGGGTTTTAACAGTTCTATTGAGATTTAATGTATCGTATTGGTACTGGATGTTAGTTGTGGTTTAATGGACCGTATTGGGCTTTAATGGATCGTAGTGGACTTTAATGGACCGTATTGAGTTTTAATGAACCGATTGGGCTTTAATGGAGTATGAGACATTAATGGATCGTATTGGGTTTTAAATGATCGTATTGGCATTAATGGACCGTATTGGGCTTTAATGCATTGTACTGGCTTTAGTGGATGTTAGTTGTGGTTTAATGGATCGTATTGGGATTTAATGGACCGTATTGGGTTTTAATGGACCGATTGGGCTTTAATGGATCATATGGGGCATTAATGGATCATATTGAACTTTAAAGGATCGTAATGGGCTTCAATGGACTGTATTGGGTTTAATGGACCGATTGGGCTTTAAATGATCGTATGGGGCATTAATGGATCGTATTGGGCTTTAAAGAATTGTATTGGCTTTAGTGGATGTTAGTTGTGCTTTAATGAATCGTATTGGGATTTAATTAATCATATTGGGCTTTAATGGACTGATTGAGCTTTAAAGAATTGTATGGGACATTAATGAATCGTATTGGGCTTTAAAAGATCATATTGGACATTAATGCATCGTATTGGCTTTAGTGGATGTTAGTTGTGGTTTAATGAATCGTATTGGGTTTTAATAGACCGTATTAGGTTTTAATGGACCGATTGGGCTTTAATGGATCGTATGAGACTTTAATGGATCGTTTTGGGCATTAATGGACCGTATTGGACTTTAATGGATCGTATGAGACATTAATGGATCGTATGAGACTTTAATGGATCGTATTGGGAATTAATGGACCTTATTGGATTTTAATGGACCGATTAGACTTTAATGGATCATATGGGGCATTAATGGATCGTATGGGGCATTAATGGATCGTATTGAGCTTTAAAGATTCTATTGGGTTTTAATGGATCGTATTGAGTTTAATTAATCATATTGAGGTTTAATGGACCGTATTTGGTTTTAATGGGTCGTATTGGGTTTTAACGTTTCAATAATAATAATTTTAGTGGTAATAATAATAATAATAATAATAATAAAATAATAATGATGATAGTAATTTTAAAGATAATAATAATAATAATTTAAGTAAAATAATAATAATAGTAATAAAAAAAATTGAAAATTTCAAAAATTTCAAGAAAACCGGTTAATTGTAACAAAATTAAAATTTTAAAAAAATTTCCGACGGATTTATCCGCGAGTAATATCAAAACACATTAAATCCTATCTCCTTTATTGAACACAACCACCTCCAACAAAACTCTAAAAAAACCGATAGAGAGACCAACCACGATAAACCCGATCGACCACCTCCTTCCTGCCGCCAACCACCTCTTCATCTCCTTCTCTGTCCTCGTCGGGGAATATGATCACATCCTCATCCCTAACCCCAACGAGGAACGGGGATCCTCAAAGGGGAAACATAATTTCCCCCCCCCCTCCCTTTATGTAAAGTATTTTAAATCAAATATTTGAGACATCACACATGTTTAAATCTCACATATTTACAATAAACATAAAATCGAAAGAGATTTAGCTTAGTACAAAAAAAATCACAACATCATATAATAATTAATTAACTCAAAGCTAAAGAAATTCAATTTAATACAAAAAAAAAAAAAAAACTCAACGTCATAAGTGCTAAAATATATCGTGTTACATTCAAAACATATCAAGTAATTGTATTTTTACTTGACATCCAAAATATTATATACTAATATCCAAAAAAATAACAATTTTATATTCTAGACTTAGTTAAGAAATAGGACATTATGAATTACCTATTTAGTTGAAATAAATAATATATATTTAATCTTTTAATAAATAAATAAATAAATAAATAAATATATATATATATATATATATATATATATATATATATATATATATATATATATAACGGGTACGTGGTGGGGCGAAGAGTATAATACCCGTCCCCGACTAAGGCTGGTGGATCGGAGTCCCCGACGGGTCGGGGTCAATTCCCATGTCTATTTTATATAATGTATTAGAGCAAAAAACATGCTTAAACTAAGGGTGTCTAGAAAATCAACCGAATCCATTTATAATCGACTAATCATAATTGGATATCTAATCATAATTGGATCGGATTGGATCAAAAACTTCTACATCCAATTTGGGTTGGTCGGTTCTGGGATGGCAGTCTAGAAACCAATCGGACCGAACCGACCAACATCCAATTAATCATCTAGTTATTCATCCAAACATTATCCAAATATCATCCAATTATTTTGTTTTTACTTTGCTTAAATCAAAATTAATTGTGTTGGTTTTAAGTTTTAATGCATATTAAAAGTGATTAATCAATTTGTTTATTGTTTGAAAATTCCATTGATTTAACAAATTGGATGGTCGGATCCAGTCCAATTAATATTGGTTCGATCCAATCTGATCCAATTAATATCCAATTGATAAAAACGAACCGATCCAATCATTCATTGATTGGATTAAATCGGTTGTCTGATGTTAATAGAATTTGATTGGTTGGCAAAATTCAACATCTAATGGATGATTGGATCGATTCGGTTCCCCTCACATCCACTAGATGTCAACCGATGAACACACCTAACCTAAAATTTTTTAAAATCCCTATTTTCCCTATTATAGAAAATCAAATAAAGGTTTTTTTTTCCTATCAAAAAAGTAAAGGGTTTTTTCCTTAAAATATGCTTTGTAGCTTTGGCTCTTACTTTTGTTTTTTAGGTTTTCTTTTCCTTGTTCTTTTTAAATGCTTTAAAATTTGTATTTTTCCTTTACATATTATTGTATTACTTTTTCTTAATAAAAACATAAAAAATAGAGTAAACTATAAATTTAGTCCTTTTGATTTATCATTTGATCGAAATGGGCTCCGATCTCCCATCTGCTGGAATATTACGTGAACTGGATTTAGAATATTGGATGGATCTGATTTGATCATCCGTTAGATACCGGATAGAT